TCAATAATGTTGTAACCCTGGGCAAGTTATTTAACTTGTCTAAGTCTCAGTTTCTCCATCTATGAGGATAATGACAATATCCACATAGCGTTCGTCTGAAGATTTAATGACATAATCCATATAAACTACTTTGCACATAGGAAAGCGTCAATGTTATCATTACTTGCCTGTTCTTCAGAGATATGGTATTGAATGAAAAATAATGGTGCAAGGCTCTTTTGAAAAATATGGAGCATATAACCATATTTAAGTTCTAAGAGACTTATTATGGTTTTGCTTAGGACTCTGTCATTCAAGGCAGTTAAGTAGGCCAATATAATATCTAATATTATAAACACTAAAAACATGGATCAAATGCATCCATTTGAGAAATGCTACAATGTGACTGTCATTATGGACACTGTGGGAAATCTGGTGTATAGAGCCTGCTTGCACAGGTTGGGTAAGTGCTGATTTTTTCCAATATGGCTCAGTTTTGAAAAGCCCTTTTTTAAAAAAAAAAAATAATCACCAATATTTTATACCCTTTTGAGGTATAAAAGTTACTTTTTTTTTCCAATTGGCAAAACCGTGCCATAAAGTGAAAAAACAGTTCCTACCTGACCCTCTCTAGGCTGGCTCCATGCTCCAGTGGGGCTCTGTGGTGGTCGGGCCAGTACCAGCAGACTCCACAGGGTGCTGTCACTCTGAGCAGGAGCCAGCAACCCATGACTTCAGGAACCTGAAATGGAGAAAAAGAGTTGGCCTTAAAGTCAGCCATATGCTGAATGCCCCTGCCATAGCTGTTTAGGGCATATCTGATTAATGTACATCTAGTTCATTCAAAACTCTGATGCTACCAGCCTTAAATGGCCTTGATATGAGAACATTTTTAAGTAGTAAATAAGATACTATAATTAAGACATTACATTATTATGTGTACCACTCTCTGTAAGAGTACAAATACTTCATATACACATTATTGTCTAACCCAGCCTTATACCATCTCTGCAAATTATGGCAGGCCAAACTATTTAAATAAATCAATAATTGGAAAACTGAGGCATAAAGCAGCCAAACAACCTGCCCAAATCTTGTCTCAGGACCAGAGACAAGAATTCAATTCAGCCAGTCTAAAACCAGGTTCTGATGTGATGAAGGCAAATTCACCTTTTTATGACTAAAAACAAAGCAGTGATTTTAATTTGTTATGAGCTATGGTGTATTTTCTAACAGTCCAGGTAAAAATGTACCTTAAAAAAATGAAATAAAGTAAAAATATTTTAAAATGACATACTCTGACTTTAAAAAAGTATCTTTTGAAAATTAGTTCTGAAGGACTATCAAGAAAACTTTTAGAGCACTGGTTTTCAAACTGGGCTTTAGGGAGCAAAGAAGGCATAGAGTAGCATGAGGAGCAAGTAGGTGGGTTGTCACTCCTTATCTCTCCTCATATTTAAGCCATAACAGTGCTATTTCTACATATACTAGAACTACCACATAAGACTCTGATGACAAAGAGTTCACAGATGAAAAAAAAAATGCTACTGTAAACATCTTGTAAACTCTATTTTATATAGCTGATTTTAAACAATAATTTAAAACTCAGGGTGATATTATTTGGAGCCTTGGAATGATGCTTTAGTCTTCAATTGCCAAGAAATACTGGCAACTAAATAGATAATATTCCATTTGGGATTAGGATAAACTAGCAGCAAGTCCCTTCCCATTTGGTCCCACTGAAAACGTAGATTTTTATTTATACCAAGTGGTTTGATCTCACTTTCCTACAGAAATTATATATTGTTGATTTACATTATACTTAGCCTTTTACAAAAGATTCCCATATTTTAAAAAGAGAAGAAAATGCTTGTCAGACAATGTAATAATTCAGAAATTCTTTCTGTACTTGTTAACATTTCATGGTTTCCAAATCATGTTAATGTCTTCTTTGAACATTTTATACTCAAAAAACTTAAATGTGTGAGAAGACAATAAAAATATCATTTATTGGTAGTATCATTATTATTGATACTCTAAACGTATCAAGGTATAATGGGAAAAATATGCTTTCTATATATGAGAAACGCATATTTCATTATTAATAAATCAAAATCTAGAATATTAATTTTGGGGCTTTCTGTACTGATAGCAGTAACATCAACCATGAGACAATGGCCATAATACACACAAAAGTGTACTTAGTCACTATGTAGAAGATAAAGTTTTAATAATTGTTATCCAACAAAAACCCATCCACCAGTCAAAGTTTACAAACTAAATTTCTATTCTGTATTTTTAAATTTGCAAGTTCTGAAATGAATAATTTTGCATTAAGCCAACTCATTTTTCCTCACATCCAAAACTTACTGTATGGAGAGTATACAGATCTTATTAGTTGTCTCTTATAACAAACTGACAACACATTAACCATTCTTAAAGGTTTAAATTACCAAATAGTGTTCCTGTGATATGTGAGGGCAGAATAAAAACAGCACCAGTAAATGAACCCAGGGCATATTACAGACTAGATGTACAAGGGTCCCATATGAATGCTATGCTAAAAGTATATGAAATAAAGTATTTCCATTTCATAGGTTAAGAGAGCAACATATAATATTAGAAGCCGTTAGTTTTTAGTGATATCGGTCCATTTGAGCAAACTCAGGGGCCCAAGAATGTTGTTTAATGACAAAGAAGAGATAACATGTTTCTCAACTTCAAAACTGGCAAAGTGTCTACTCAACTTTAACTTTTTAAAGATTACAACAAATAGACTGGTTACCAAACTAGATACTATTTAATTAGAATAATACTTAGAGTTGGGAAGACAGCATCTTATTTCACAGAAACCATATAATCACCCTAAAGCTTTCTGATTCTACAAAGAATCCGCTTCAATTCAAATTGGTGAACTAGATATGAAATGCTAGTGAGTCTCAAAATATTTTTCTAATGTCTACAACATATACCTTTTCCTGTAGACAGTTTTGTTTTACACTCAAATGCACTTTACTACTTGGTTTGTTATTTGCTAAACTTTGGTATTTAATATATATATGGACATTTTATTTTTCTTTTTATTGATTTTTATGTTTCATGATTTTTTAAGCTTCAAAATATATTGGCTAGAGTTTTATATATAGCACAAAATCAAAGCAAAAATTTTTAGTTAAAAGCCATTATTGTAATCTGATCAAACTTTCTTGTTGTTAGTTTTGAATACAGAAACAGGTTTCCCTACAGAAAAAAAAAATTAGAGGTCGTCTTGCCTGACTGACGTTCACTCTATTCCTATAACACTGAATCAAAAATGAAGTCCATGATTTATCCTAAACATCATACTTATACTATAGTGACTTAAATTTATTTTATTTTATCACATTATAGAATGTATTCTCATTACTATAGCACTTACTGAAACAGATATTTATAAAGCAGAGGTTGTCCAGTGTAACCAATATACAAATTAATTCCAAGTAATTAAATTAGAATTCTCAAAGTAGTAACAACCGAACTCATCACCCCTTAGGATAGCAAAACAAAGCATATCAAATGAAGTTTTATAAACTCACTAGTATGAGAATGTAGACATTCTTGTTTCTAAAGATTTACAGCACATACTGTAATACTTATACTACAGGATTTATAGTACCTATTATCCATCTTAAAAGAACTAAGCTGACAAATTATTTTGTGCTATATCTTTCATTAATTCTTTCAACAAATGCTTATTGAGTATCATGAGCTTTTTGGTCATAAAAGAACTAGTCCAATAAAAACATTTAACTTGTCTAGGAGAAAAAAAGAGCACAGATTATTACTGTGTTATCAGAATTTTATACCATAAGATCAAGAATATGAGGCTGTGGAGTACTTTCTGTTGCCCTACATACCAGAAAGTTGATTACACATAGGAGTAAGAAAGCAAATACCAAAAAATTTTAAATAATGAGTCAGTATGCTAGTATGGCCAAACAAAACTTTAATTCTAAAATCTAGCATTACTAGGTTTATACAGGAATACTGGTTAACTTTCAGAAAGTAAGAAGAAGAGCTAGGAGCCATAAAGCCTAGATTCATTTCAGCATATATGAAATTTCAATAGAAATATCAATGGAGGCTCTAAATTTACTAGATAATTATCGGAAAGTAGCTCATTAGTTGTACAAGTAATAAATATCTGCCTTCTCCAAATCTATTACAAATAAAATAATAGGTTATTTTATATTCATCTCTGGCAAATGCTGTTGCCAATCTGTCCTTCCACCACACAATGCTGAACACCACCATATGCAAGGAAGGAAGGGATAAGCGGCAAGCGCATTAGCTTTCTTTTCAAATGGGAAAAGGGAAGCATCTGATTACACAGTAGCAGTATTAAAAGAACAATTCTACCAGCTGCTTAAGGACACTTGACATTAATAACCTGAAGCCTGAGGGTCCTGTGAAGAGCCCTCAGGAGAAGACTGATCAGAAGAAGAAGGCTGTTGCTGGGTACGTGCAGCTAGCTCTTGCTGCCTCTGCTGCTCAGCCTTCTTAAGCCTCAGTTGTTGCAGGCGCTTACGGAGCAAAGCTATCTCAGGCCCCCTTAAAAATTCTGACACAAATAGGAAAAGAAAGGTGAAAAGATAGGAATAAAATAGAAATAATAAGAATTTGATTATACATTAAAGAAAAGAAGGAGTTAAATAAAACACATGTCTCACAGAGGAACACTACAAACAAATTACCGATTAAAAAAAATTACTAGTCATTAAATTATGAGACAAACTACACACACTTATACCCAACTGCTTCTCTTTAACTAGGATAAATTATTCACATATATTTCTCGAAGAATATTTAAGTAATTAAACAGAATGAAAATAAATTTACAACGAACATTTCTTTGCTCACTAATTTAATCTCTTTTTACAACAAAATGATACTAGAAAAGAAAATTTGGCCCTCCATTTCTCCACCATTCAGGAAGGACGTTGGTGCTGAAGTTGACATACCTGTTGAGGACAATAACTACCATGGCTTCCAGTGCCTTGACAAAACCTCAGATGCATGGCCTTCTGGCCAAATGTCTGTGGTTTCACATTGCTGGAGCATTCTTTGTATCCCTGGGGGTTGCAGCTTTCTATAAGTTTGCTGTAGCTAAACCAAGAAAGAAGGCATATACAGATTTCTACAGGAATTATGATTCCATGAAAAATTTTTGAGGAGATGAGGAAGACTGGTATCTTTCAGAGTGCAAAATGATTTTGGAATATAAATAATTTCTTTGGGATGAATTACATAGAAGTTTGTCACTGACCTGTGTTCCTGAATTATGAAACATGCTATGTAGGCTAAGTAGTAGTTTCTCTTGATAAATAAACTATTAACAAAATTTTTTAAAAAGAAAAGAAAATTTACAAATAGAAATCATCTAATCTACACAAAAAATTTAAGTTACTTCATAAGTTTCAATCAAGTAAAAGTTAAAATTCAATTAAAATGATGAAAAAGTTATGTATTTGAAAACTCTTGGAATTTATTAGTGTTCTAAAAAAGTGAAAGTTATAAATTCTTCAGCTAAATATTTCTTTTTATGTTAGAATTGTCATTTACCTTTTCTTTATTTTAAGTTCAAAGAAGATTTACATAATTCTTAATATTTTCTCGAACTGTATCTGAAGAGGTGACCATAGATGAAAAGTAGAAACATAACATAAAATTTTGCAAAGAGATATTTACTAAATGCCTACTATGTATGAGGCATTGTTGTAGTCTCTGGGAATAAAATATTGAACAAAATAGTCCCTACTCCTATGGAGTTTATGTTCTGAGGGAAAAACGGACATCTGTGAACACACACACACATACAACATATATATATACATGCTTGTGTCCCGTGGAGTAAGTGCTATGAATTAAATTGGCAAGGTAAGGTAAAGGGGATAAAACCCGTAGAGCGGTTGTTCTTTTACATGTGGTTGTTAAAAAGCTTATCTCAAGTTTTTTAGCTTATTCCTTATCCTCAGGGCTACAGGGAATAAACCACATAGATATCTGAAAGATGTGCTCTCAGTGGAGAACAAGTGCTAATGCTCAGAGGGCAAGTGATGTGAAATACATTTTAAAGGTAAAACAGAATTTATTTGTAATTTGGATGTAGAGGATCCCCAAATTTTTGGCCTAGGTAACAGGAAAAACAGAGTTACCATGTATTATAATAGGGAAGAATGAAAGGAAAAAGTAGTGCTGGGATAAAGAAAAGAATAAACTGACATCCAAGTGGAGAAATAAGGTAGGGACTGAATATGAGAGTCTAGAATTCAGAGGAGACATACATTTTGATGGCAAAGGTGATGTTACTTTAAGCCCCCTAGGAAAAACAATGACAGAGAAGAGGTCTAAGAACTGAACCCCTGGGGCACCCAGATGTTTAAGAAGAAGAACTTCTAGGAAGAGTAAGAAGAAAAAGCCAGAGAAGGGGTTGGAGACCAAATGATCAGAGTTTTGTAGTATAAGTGATAAAAGTTCTGTAAAAAGTGATGGAATAAGCAGTTGTGTCAAATGCTGTTTAATGCACTGAAAAAGACACTTAGATCTAACCACTGCATTTTGTATCATGAAAGTCATTGATGACCTTGAAAAGAGCTGTTTCAGTAAAATATCAGGGGCCAAAACCTGACTGTAGTAGGTTAAAGAGAAAGGGGAGGTAATAAAGTAGAGATACAAAGCTTATATTCTCTGTAGAACTCTTGCTATTAGTGGTGATGAGAGAAATTGGATGATTGTTGCTGAAAGAATAAAGAATCAAGGAAAGTGTGGCGATTCCTAAAAGCTCTAAATACCAACCTCCCATATGACCCCACAATCCCCCTACTTAGAATATATCCTGAAGAACACAAATCACTCTATAAAAAAGATACCTGCACACGCACATTTATCGCAGCATTGTTCACAATAGCAAGAACCTGGAAACAACCATGCTGCCTGTCAAAAGAGGACTGGATTAAAAAAATGTGGTGTATATATATATATATATATATATACGATGGAATACTACACAGCCATAAAAAAAGAACAAAATCATGAATTTCGCAGCAACCTGGATGAAACTAGAGTCTATAATACTGAGTGACCTCTCACAGAAACAAAGATCTGAGTATCACATGTTCTCATTCATATAATGGACCTTAAACATCCAATGCAATACTATACGAAAATGACTGACAGTACTGGGGAACTATGGGGGGGAGGGAGATGGGATTAACAGTAGCAAATATCTGTCTGGGAATGGGGAAACACCCCATATCAACAGGGTACCTGAATGAAACGCAATTGTATACCTAACCCTTAACTGTACCCCACAACCTCATAATAAAAAATAAATAATTTAAAAAAAAAAGAATTAAGGGAGGTTTGTGTTTTATTTTGGGAACGAATACACATTTGTATTCTGATGAAGAATGTTTAATTGGGGGCAGGGACAATAATGATACTTGAAAAAAAGTGGGAAACTGCAGGAATGATGTCCTTGAGTAGACTACAGGAGATAAGTTTTGATGGATTTTGAACAGGTGCACAAAAATTTCATTAAGAAGAACTTTTATCACTATAGCCAAAGGGGAGGCAGAGAATATAGATAGATGTCAGTAGCCATGGATTTGGTGGTAGGAGCATGCAGAATTTCTCTGACCACTAGCATCAAATTATACAAACTACCAAATACCTTTCAATCTCACACAGATTTGTAAGGTTAAAATATTTAGTTTACTGTTTCAGGATTCAATAATGACAGACAACAACTTCCTCTTACTATGGCTTCTATTTATAAAGAATTTTATTCAATAGCCAATTAGTAGTTAAGATTTAATAAACAATTTCAGTATCATCACAATCTTTCACTATTAGTTATTCCTAGACCAGTGCCAAGTAAATGGTACTCAAACAAATGGCCATACTCAATGGCAGTGTCTTCTTTTTAGGTGTGTACAAATATCTTATTTATAATCAGCATAATAGTAATGGTTTTAGTAACACAAAATAAAGCATTGTGATACAACCATAAGGTTTGTCACTTTGAAATTCAAAAGCAATATACAATTTTAAAAAAGAGTACATATGTGGCAAGTTTTGTTTAAAAAGCAGAAAAATGCACCCAATTTCACTGCAGCTTCAAGCCTTCTCTATCAAATTTTCAAATGTTTCATGAGGGTAATAGTATCCATACTAGAACCACTGGTGATATAACAGAAACAGCAGACTCTAGGTGCATGCAGTAATGCTATATAACTTAGGGAAAAAATAAAGATTAATTATGATAATCCTATGAACCATTTATTCAAAAGTTTCCAGTGCTTTTTAAAGAAGAATTTGTTTATCTACTTTTTTCTTTGTTTTTTGTTTTTTTAGTTGGAGTCTCACTCTGTCGCCCAGGCTGGAGTGCAGTGTCACACTCATCGCCACCGCAGCCTCGACCTGCTGGGCTCAGGCAATCCTTCCACTTCAGCCTTCCAAGTAGCTGGAACTACAGGCATGCATCACTACGCCCGTGTAATTTTTTGATTTACTGTAGAGATGAGGTCTCGCTAAGTTGCCCAGGCTGTTCTCGAACCTGTAGGCTCAGGCAATCCTCTCCCTTGGCCTCTCAAAGTACTGTGTGTTTGTCTACTTTAAGGCTGGTTGCATGGTGGCTTTTTTCTCCTTGGGTTAAAAAAAAATGAGGCCAGGATGAGAAGACACCACACAGTTAACCAGGATAGGCAAGTACTGAATTAAAAATGTTAACAAGACATACCAGATTAAACAAACAATTCTGCTGGCAGCAACAAATATTAAAGCAGTTAAGATGCATACACATATCACTGTAAGAAGATATACCCAAATAAATGTTAATTTTAAAATGGGGAAAAATGCTTGAAGAATTAGTTTTTGTTAATGTCAGCCAAAATGAAAACAGAATACAATGAATACCTTGGGCTGAACTTTAACAAAACTCAACAAGGTTATCAGAAATTGCTACAGGAAATTGTACTTCCATCTTCTGAAATTATTAACCCTATCCTTTTTTTCTTCTGAAAGACTCCAGGCTGTTCTCCCTAATGGCTTCATTCCACTGACAAAGAACAATATAAAAACAGCTATATTTGACCCAACAAAAAGTCCACTTGGTTCTAACCTTATATATACACTGCCTCTTTAATACATAGGGTTGTCTGTCCTGGACTCTAGGCCATTTTTACATCTAATTTGGTGGCACTTTAACAGCCTGCCACCTTCCAGTCCCAACTTGTTTCTTATCCTGGTGATCCCTGCACATTTTTTAATCCCAAGACAGTACTGACTTCTAAGTTTCAGTATTCCCTTCTTCTTTAGTTTCCCCAAAGTAGCCATCAACCTAATATCTCTACTTGTTTATAATTATGACCAGACCCTAGTTCCATTTAAGGAGTCTATAATCTAGATTTTGGGCTTTGAAAAAGTTTGTTTTAATATGCCTTATAACAGAGTTCTTACTTCACCAGCAACTTTTCTACAAAGCTAAATTTAGCTATCACTATTATTATAGGTCAAAATAAATTTGTAATTCAAGCCCGTGGTTATTTGTACATAAGCAGGAATCCACACACACAGACCATATCATTATACTATCTAATCTCTTACTATCTATCATATCATATACCTATACATATACTTTTTAGTAAAAAAAAAAAAAAATCTCATAATTTGAATGGTCTATTTAATTAGAGACACAAGGCAGGGATGCTTTAAGTGATTCATTTGTCAATATGAGCCCCCAAACTGAATTTTGTATATGCCAATATCCCCACCCAATGCAACTTCTCTAATCCTATTCGTTAAATTCGTCAAAATAAAACCAAAGGAAATAAATAAACTATAACACATTGGAAAAACTGCCTCAAGTAAAACATTTTCATTAAAAGAAGCTTCTTAACATGGGAAAAATTTACAAATAATGCACTAAATGAATACATTTTCAGGTTTAGTTTAAGAAATAACTAAAAGAGATGTCTAATAGGCATTACTGAGAAAAGAAAATATTTAAGTTACTTTGAAATACTTTTTAGAAATAAAATTATGAAGATCTAATTTAACTTCTATAGTTTCAGCGCATACTCATATCTTTCTGTTTTTATTTTATTTATTTATTTTTTAATTTTTTTTTTTGAGTTGGAGTCTCACTCTGTTACCCAGACTGGAGTGCAGT